CTTCAAACAAACAAAAACTTTATATTGTATATTTAAGAGTTTTGTTTCTCTTTCATTTCGTCAGTACCAAGCGAAACGCTATATTGCTCTATAAGTATCATTTAATGCAACATAATGAAAGTGTATGAATGTGGATTATAGTTTTTGGCACAGCATTGTTAATATAATTGCCCTAAGTTACACTCCATTTACAACTGAATATAAAAAGTTAATATTGAGGAAATCGGGTTCATTAGGTGGAACAGTGTTAAATTTGTGTCACATCACATATTCCTGAAGCAAGAAGCCCACCTCTGGAACAATATTTCATTTGAGTCACATTACATACTTCTGAGGTAAGAAGCCAGCCTATTAAACAGTGTTACATTTGTGTCACATCACATACTTATGGGACAGAAAATCCATCTCTACATGGAACAATGTTACATTTGTGTCACATCACATACTTTTGAGGCAAGAAACCCATCTCTGCACCGAAAAGTGTTAAATTTGTGACACATCAGATATTCATGAAGCAAGAAACCCACCTCTGGAACAATATTTCATTTGTGTCACATCACATACTGCTGAGGCAAGAAACCCATCTTTGGAACAATATTTCATTTGTGTCACATCATATACTTCTGAGGCAAGAAACCCATCTTTGGAACAATATTTCATTTGTGTCACATCACATACTTCTGAGGCAAGAAACCCATCTTTGGAACAATATTTCATTTGTGTCACGTCACATACTTTTGAGGCAAGAAACCCATCTCTGCATGGAAAGTGTTAAATTTGTGACACATCAGATATTCATGAAGCAAGAAACCCACCTCTGAAACAATATTTCATTTGTGTCACATCACATACTTCTGAGGCAAGAAACCCATCTTTGGAACAATGTTACATTTGTGTCACGTCACAATCTACTGCAGCCAGAACTGACTTCTATCATGAAAAGAGTGTTTAGTTCTTAAGAAACATGTCTAATTTTCCTATCATGTTATTTCACAAGATTTACCAAAGGTAACATTATTGTTTCAAACATGAACTTCCTCCTTTTGTCTAAACAAAGTTAACACGTGCTTGATTGAAAGGTGCAGAATGTGTACCATACACAGTTTCGATTATAATCGTTTTTAGTCAAAGAAGAATGATAATTTTTGTTCTAACTCTTTCTCAATGTTTACAAGCTGTATATGGTTTAACCATGTGGAAAATAACCTTTTTCGTTTTTACTCAGTGGTTTGATATCGAGTTTCATGTGGTAACGCAAGTGGCTCGAGTACCGTGTACTGTAGTTGGGATACAAGTGTTCAACATATATGTATATATTACACACACACACACACACATATATCGTAATCCAGACGTAACTGCTGAACACCCATCTTCAGAATGAGGTAAAGTATAGATCCAAGATATACTTTTGGTTCCAAACAAGGATATATCTGTTGCCCGTTCGTCCGTCCGTCCGTCTTTAAGCAACAAATCTACCGTGATTGTTTTTCAGGCTATACTTTTCTCTACGTCGTTTACAAGTCTGTTTATTTACTGTATTTCTCATCTTAATGACCCACTTTGATTTGATAAACTTACACCTTACCGCCATTTTTTTGACAAGCCTGTTCAAAATATCCTTTTGTCTGTCTTTCTGTGTTTCTTTGTCAACCACTCTGTTTCTATGTCTGTCTCTCCTGTTACCACGAGTTTTCTTATATAAGTTTCTAGAAGACAGCAAGCAATTTCTGGGTTGGTAAGCTTTGCCACATTTTTAAAATGTAATAGGTAATTTTATAGGCAAGGCCAAAACCTTGACAGCTTTGACGCGCAACGTAGAATTAAAACATCATTAGCAGCGTTGTTTTTATGTGTGAACAAGTTTCTAAACATCTACAGAGCAATGAAGTATAAATGTGTGTTCGTGTTATTTGCACATATGAAAATTACATATATATATATTCTATGTGTGAATAAGTTTCCAAACATCTACAGAGCAGTGAAGTATAAATGTGTGTTCGTGTTATTTGCACATATGAAAATTACATATATATATATATTCTATGTGTGAATAAGTTTCCAAACATCTACAGAGCAGTGAAGTATAAATGTGTGTTCGTGTTATTTGCACATATGAAAATTACATATATATATATATTCTATGTGTGAATAAGTTTCCAAACATCTACA